AGCACTTCGATACTATACCTTCTCATCTCGTTTGCAATCTGGGAAGCCTTGCTTGGTCCAAACATAGGGCGTACATTCCATGTCCCCTTGTTTACTTTCGCTTTCATCGAGAGAGAGGAGAGATATCGGTCAATTGGCTTCCCGAAAGCTTTCACCAACCGGCGTCATTTCGTCTCTCCGATTCCAGCGAGGAATAAGTTTGTTTTTATGTTTTATATTTTGTCTGTGCTTTGAAGTTTCTGTAGCGGTTGGATTGGTTTTCCCGGGGTAGGGTTGCTAGGCCTACGCCCAACCTTCCCTCTTTACCCGGGCTTAGGACCGGCTAGTAACTAGTGAACTAGTTAACCGGTCAATATGATGAATCTGCGAATTTCACTCTTCCAGTTTCTGGAGGTTTACTAGCCAGTTCTCAGAGTCTTGCTGGTGTATGTATAAGACTGAGCACTAAGTAAAAAAGTTCACTAACCGACTGGATCCCAGATGACAGTTGCCTATGCACTGTCCAAATGAACGCCACAATAAGGACTAAAATAAAAGTGAAACTTGATGTTGTCTCTTTGTAATCTCTGCCCCTGCAGACATTAGTTCGGATCAAGTGAAGGATGAGTTCTACCGAAAACTGACCACCCTTCCGGGTCTGAAACCTGCCTGGTTTTCTCGAGTTTTCTGTACTCGAGCTCCAGTTAGACATCAGATAACGTTGGACGCTAGGATCTTGGAAACAATATTGTTATTAGTATTATTATTCATCCTTTGGGTTCCTAGTGGAACATAGAGCTTCAGTAGCGCGTCTCCATCGCACTCTGTTCTCTGAAGTCTTTTCAACCTGGCTCTATGACAGCCCAAAAGCTCTCATTTCTTCCTCACACGATCTCGTCCATGTCACCCTCACACGCCCAACTCGTCGTCTGCCCTTTGGGTTCCACTCGAGGGCCTAGTCCGGCGTGTGTTGTCCCCAGTCAGTCATCTCAGTGTATGTCCGGTTCAATCCATCTCCACTTTCTTATATATGTTCGTTGGGCGATAGGTTCTTGGTTGGTTCGTTGGCAGGCCAGAGGTCGTTGTTGCTTACTCTTTCTGGCCAACTGGTCTTCAGTATCGAGTGAGCGTAGGCGGCAGTTGTTGATGTATGTCTGTAGTTTGTTGGAAATGCTTTCGTAATGCGCCAAGTCTCTCAACCATCATACAGAAGCACTCATTGACATACTTGACTGAATAAGTGTTGAAAATCCGGATCTTGTTTTTTATGGACAAAATGTTAGTCAAGCTAATCCCATGGTTGCCACAAGAAGATTCCTCTCCCTTGTTATAAACCTGGATGGTCAGTGCAGTACATCAATCTGATGGTATTATTTCTGACTGCGATACACCACGATGCAGTACCTCCGTCAATCTAATTAGCAATTTCCCTCCTACCTCCACCCTTGAAAAGTTCAGTTGGTAAACTGTCAGGTCCTGCTGCTTTGCATTGGGTCAGGTTCCATACAGCTTTCGCAGCTTCAAGGAGTTGGAGGATCGATATCTACGTGCCATTCAGGTTCAGGTTGGATGTTGGGCAGTTGGAGCGTTCCTGAAGGTCAGTCGAACAACTGTGCTTCAAAGTGTTCTGCCCAACGTTCTAGCCGCCTCTCCTGGGAGGTTATCAGCATCCCATCGTTTTCGGTAATGGCTTCATTCACCATTGTCTTTTTCTTGCCAGTATCCTAGATAGGCCTAAATATTTGTCGGGTTTCCCCCACCGTTGATGCTCTCTCCATCTCTCTTGTTTTCCCACCCACCACTACTGGCGATTGACGCGAAGACTCTTGGCCAGTTTACCTTCGAGTTGCTTTCGCTCTTCATCGTAATCAGAACTAGCTAGAATCAGTTTTCTCGCATTAATTAGTTCAGTCTGCGTCACGCAAATCCAATAACGTTTGCTAGGCTTCAGGTGTAGGCTACGAATTGTCGTTACCACTGTTTCTATATCAAAATTAATATCATGCCAGATTTCTTCAGGATGAGCATTGCTATCATATTCAGATAAATGCTTAGCTAGCTATTCTATAACATTTGATTCGATGTTCTGTCCTTCCAGTCGAACATAGATAGACTTTACCGTTGCTTTTTTGCTGCGACCAGTTAGGTGCAGACATACACGAGGCTGTATTAACGCGTGATCGGAGCCCAAACTAGTACTCTAGAAAAAGTGGCAATAAGCCAACGATGGCTTGTTGGAATGTGCTCCATCTGTGTCCACCGTTGCTTTGATGTTGGCGGCCACCATGTAGGATATTATCCCTTTTTATGTTTGGAATTATTGCTGGTCAGGAAATAAAACTATGATAGTTGATCACCGTTGTCGGTTCGCTGGCATCGGATTCCTTACATACCTCCTAGATGTTGTTCCCCATTGGCTTAACTTCCCTACTTAAGTCACCTGGCATTATGACTACATCTGATCGTTTTGCTTTCTGTAGCAAAACTGACAGCTTTTCATAGAATTCATCCTTTGCATCATCCCAGTTGCAGCCGGTGACTGAGTAGGTGAAGGTTATGAACAGACATCGCCTAGTCTCACGATCCTTCCTAGTCCCTACAAATCCATTTAGTCGAACAGGACATAGACGGCTGTTCAGTGGTACACATTCAGGAAGTGCATTTTCTGCTCTGCAACTGAATGCTCTACCTATGTCACCGAGTCCACGAGCTCTAGCCATCATCATCTTGAATGTATGGAATTCAGCTACAGAAATTTGAGGTTTCCTAGGATATGTGTTATTTTTTTCAGACTGTTTTACACCTCTTTTTTCAGGAGCGAGTAGTACACTTTGAAAATGTTTGACGGAAGCTCCATGGAAGGGATTATGTGACAAGCTTTCGTTTGATGTCCAATCATTTTTATTTTGTTTTTAGGCACTAACTCCCAATCCCTTGTTTCCTTATCTATTAAGGGCCTCGGGTATTTGCATTGGGAAACTTGAAAAGTAGGTTTTGATTTATCTTCTCAAAGAAACCATAGCGTATGTGTTGCTGTCACAGTGATAGGTCAAATTTCATGAATAGTGACTTCTATTTTGTAATAAGTTAATTTCTGTGTGGCTGTTCCTAGAGTTGTATACACAGTTTACTCACAATTGTAAAACGTACTGGTCAGTTTTAAACACTAAGAGGATGATTAAGTTTCTTAATCTAAAATAGCTGGTATTTTTGCTGTGTAAAAACCAACTATGTACAAGTTTCTGTAGTAGACAATGAAACATACTTACCGGATGATACTATCCGGTATGTCAAACTTCGGTAGGATGGGAAACTTCGAATTCGGAAGCTTCTCTGTACAACGAGTCACAGCTCTACTCACTCATAATTCAGCTTGCTTTTTTCCAGCGCAAGCCTGGTGAAAATGAGCATACTCGTGTAAACTCAACCAACTTCATCGTTGAGCACAAGATTGTGCAGATTCATACCGGTTCGTTACACAAAATTAAAATCTGATGAGGTATGTTCATATCTATCTTGAGAAAAGTGCAGAAGCAGCTTGTTTCGATTAAATAGTTCTTAAGTCTGAAAGATATTCAATCAAAGTGAGAAGGCATGAAAAGGTTTCAGATGTTTGACTATCATCACCTTTGTAGCATAAGTTGTACATCGTAGTACCGCCAATTCAGTAATATAGAATTCAGGCATCGAGTTTTGGACAGAAAACGTAAGGCACTTGACTAGTTTGTTAACTTTTATCTACTCAGATAGCTGGGACGTGCGCTAGTCACTGTCTACCCTGTAACACACTGTCAGCTGGGGTATAGGAAGGTTTAGCGTGGAAAAAGGTTCGACACAATCAAACAGAAACATGAAATCAGTCCATAAAGTCTCTAACTGTTGATCTGAGTTGTATAGAGAAATGTAGACTTCTTGTTTGGGGTGCATCTTAACCGTCATACTGGATTTTGTTATTATTTTGTCTCTTCGTACTACTTCTCGCCAATGCCAGTTATTTTGTTTTTTGCATCTTGACGTCTTCTACCTTGACGTACTGATGTGAAGTGTAGCAAGTTGGTCGGTTAAACAATAGTGCCAAGTCACACGTTTAGTGTGACTAACACTATGTTTTTTTATAGCTGAATTTATCATGTCTGTAAACATTGGAAAATTATACTGAGTCACTGTGTGCTATTTCAAATAAGCAATCTAATGTGGAGTTATACTCTACCACAGTGCCCAAATTTTCCTCTTATATAAATGAAACTTATAATCTTTCTGTTCAAAGACTAGTCAATAAAACTCACACGACCTTCATAAACTGAAGCGCGATATAAAAACCATCGTATTTTTAGCATTCGATGCGTGAATAATCAACGTATTTCTAAATATGCTTCGTCTGTGGACTCCGATCCCAACAGGCAAAATGGGACGGGCAATTGAAGAAGTCAGCAAGCTATGTCTGTGTTATCTTATCTATAAACATTGGAAATGTTAAGCACTGGTTAATGCCAGGTTCAAATGTATAATTTCGTACACTATTGTTTATAGCTAGCCTGCGCAGTGAATTGTAGCTTTTTTGTGGGGAATTATTTATAAACTAAATGATTCTGCAGTAAGATTTCTACCTACGACCTAATGTCATACTTGATTTTCCTTGGGAGCATTAATTTCCTTCTACTCATATACCCAGCTAACATTTTCGTCGGACCAGGCGTAGGGTTTTGCAACGTTCTTCCTAAGTTTTTACAAATGAGCCGTCGTTTGAACTTACGTTCAGCCCGACTAAGACAGTGACCAAGCGTTTGGCCGCATGTGCACTACAACTGGCTCCACTTCATGACCCAAAGTTGCCGTATTCGGGGCGATGAATTTGTTGACTGGGATATGTATACGCCTTATTCATAAATAGTTATAAATCTGCCTGTAGGGTCTTTACTGAATTGTCTTCAAAAAATATAAGCCATCACAATGCAGTAATTTCAATTTCGCTTTGTTGTTCTTGTCGGTTTTTTTTCTCCTCCCCGATATCTCTTTTCTAGTTATCATCCAGAATATGGTGATCGTCCTAAACCCTTAATTATGGTCCTATTACAAACTATGCTGACTGTTGCTACTCAATATAAGACAGTAGCTATATCCAATGCTCTGAATTCCGATTTCTTAAATCTTTTATTACGTGGTGTCGCTATTGATCCAGATCCTGTAATACGCATAATTGTACAGAAAATATTACATACGCTGATTGATCGGCACGGGAATACGGAACAACTGTTAACTGTTCGGTAAGTAAACTATTCTCAAGCTATTTTTAGGTTATAAAACAAAGTAGGATTTTGTGTATTTAAATGAATAGAGCTGACATATATCATGCTGTTCTATTGTACAAACAATTTGACAGTTGTATTTGTCAGATGGACGAATGTAGTACAACTCTTTACCTGCTTGGCATTTTGTGCTGATCAATTTATTAGATGAACAATAAAGGTGAAATTGATAGGATGACCTGAATTTGAGTAACGTTTTGCAGTCGTCGACTGATCTGCTAACTGTGTCAGCTATCCTTATGGACTTAGTCTGAGTGAAATTTTATCATCAGTGATACGTTTAGCTGTTAAAAGTGAAGTCTTTTACATATTATACTCGATTGTCTTATCTGAATTATCTCGTTTCATTGCAGGGAAATTATTTTAGTTCATAGAAGACAGCTTTCATTCTTTTTGTAGGTCGATCTAATCTGATGGCTGCGAAATAATTCTTCCATCTTATTCTAGAATTCCTCTTCTGTATACCTCCACCGCTCCTCTGTTGATTTCCGGTGAAAAATACTGTCTACTTTCTAACACTTTTAGGTATAATGACTAGCGAAGATTGAGTTTTACTAAGGAGTAAATCGTGTAATTTTTTAAGCCTAGAGCACAACTTACACAATGTTTTGTTGTAGTATAACTGCTAGTCTCATGAACCTTTTGGTCTTTGCAGGGGAGGGGTGGAATCGGAACTAGAGGGTAAATGTGTAAGATTCCGAATGCATTTCAGAAGCGTTTTCAAGGTTTATGAATAGGGTGTAAAATAGCTATTTAACTTACATCACCTCTATTCATCATTATACAATTTCAACATCTTCATTTGATTACCCTGAAGCTATCTGTATCCTACATTTTCATACTTCCCATTTTAGTTAATTAACCTCCATAGTCTCAATGCATGACTTGACTTTCCTAGCATAGATCTATGTATCTAATTCTAACACTTGCTGATTCCCCTTCGGGTAGTCGTAACGAATTCATTAGTGCTAACCAACACGTTAGGAATGATACAAGCATCTTGCTTTAAACGAAGTTTTCCACACATCCACTCCTTTATTCTCTATATTAAAATCAGGTTAGCGTTTGGATGCTTATTTCATTTTGATTAGATGAATACCAATCATCATATGATACAACTTCATTAATTTAGATCAAAAAGATATTCTCCGTGTATCACCAATTAATGTATTGCACTATTTACCACATGAAAATGCATAATTAGGAAAGTGTCAATTAAGGAACAGGAAGTTAGCCTAATGATGAAGTAAACTAAGTTATTCTGTCAACAACATACTAATATACTTCTAAATGTACAACTGAAGCTATCTAAAAATACTGTGATAGTTATAGTAAATGCTTACACAAAACCAAAGCATTACAGTCATTGTTGCTGGGAAGAAATGTATTCTACTCAACATGATACTAAACCATTCGTCTCCTTTCACTTAGTACTTCATATTATTTCCTCACCTGTTTCTTTCATGTGGATCTGTGGGTCAGTGGTTTATAAAGATGACTATCAACCAGTGGGTCACGGACTCGAATCCCGCTCCGCCTACCGAGGTTTGGATAGCCAGGTAGTATCACTAGCCCTCACACACCAGGTTTGACTTATTGCCTACTGCATGAATTTGCACAAGGTGACTGAGTGCGTTTCGTCCCATTTTCGTGCTTGTTAATTCCAACTGGTACTCTGAAAACATGTATCAACTGTTCTATTATCTATCATTCATACCTAGTAAGTAGTTTTAGGCCTTTTTTTCTTTATGTTAATTGATACTGATAACCATAGCATAAAGCTATGACTCACTAGTTTTTAGCAGTGGATTACATCCATTAGAATAGGTGTTCTAAATGCACTCCATACACTCAGGTTTAGAGACCTCCATGTGGTTTCTCATAAGTCTTCACTAAATAGGTGTCGCTAAAAGGATTACTGTCTGGTTGGGGTCCCTGCGACTAAAAGAACCAGTGGCTGGGGATTCTTGGTGACATGGTTGAAAATCCTTGACGTCTTCTAAAGCTTGAATATTTGCACTAATCGTTATCTTCAGACTGTTTATTCTCTCACACAACTCTACCTTCTTTAATATCACTCTTTCTATCCGCCAGTTCTTTGTGTACTCCTTTGAAGTTTGGCAACTTGAGCTGTCTTGGTGGGGGAGTTGTTGATAGTCTCGTCCTATCTATTCTAATTGGTTTGTGCACCTGTAATTCCCTATGTTGTATTGTACGATAGTAAACTTTCATAAACTTTTGAGAAATTAAAAACTTTGGTTTTCCTTTTTATCTCTCATCTTGTTTCTTGTTTTGTTATTCCTCTTTATTGCTTCAAGAATTTACGGTGAAAATGAGTTACGTAATTATTTCATATTGGAAAAGCCTGAAAGGCAAGACATCCTGTTTATGAAGAAGGTAAGTTTGTGCAATTTGTTTATCAAAATGCTAAGGTGACTATGAGGATTTGATATACCTTGAAAATATCTGGAGATATGTGTGATGTACGTGATCTGGTTGAGGTGATATCAAGCATGTCGAATGGCATGACGTCATTTTGTTCTTCTACCACTATAAGTAATCTTTTCTTTAACCTACACCCTGAATAAGGATACACTGTCTTATCCTCTTAAGTAACTAACTTCAAATGGGAACCTGACTTTTTACTATCCGAAATTCACACATTGTTTACAGGTTCACGGGCATTAGTCTGCTTGTCGGGTGAACAGCTTGCTTCTAGTTTGTTCAAATACTTTAGAGTAATGAAATTCAGATGAGATTATCACAGTGTGATTGAATACCCTTTGACCAAACCCCTAAGTGACTTTGAATGACCATCTATATTAGTCTGTAGGTCTTCAGTCCGCGTTAACATTCGTATGCGAACAATGGAATTGAACACATTTTAAATGAAATCAACTATCTCTCTATAGATTAATCGAATACCTCTCCGCCTGCTTCAGTCGATGTTGCCCGTTATCGAAATACAAAGTAGGTTGTCAGTAATTACACGTTTAAAAAACAACACCTTGACTCATGCTACTACACTTGTGGGTTATGAACCCACAAGAAATTGTAGGTGTCGTGGCTGAGAGTTGATGTCAGGAGCGCAGATACATCCATACATGACCTAGTTAATCGTTATATCAAATTTTATTATCGTTTCATTCTATCTTGTTCTTCTTTCACTACTTTCTACTACTTTTAGTTACATTCTTCTCTTGTTTTCCCACCCTTCACCTTGATTGCTGATATGAGGCATGGAAACTTGGTCTACTATGTAGTAATATCAGGTCTCACTTTGCCGCTGACTGATTGACTGCGTACAGTCTTCTAATCGTAGTTTCCTAACATCCATTTACGCCCAAATATAGACGTGCTCAAACCAACGTATGATCACTATCCAACCAGTAATTATCCTCAGCGCTAATCCATAGTGATATGTTCAATATATACCCATCATTTAGTTGAGGCTAGTGGACACCATGTCAGATAGTGTCTTCCGGTATCTCTGAAATTCATGTTGATTAGAAATAGGTGATTGAGCACACTTGTGGATTAGCTGATCGTTATTATCTGCTCACTCTACTTGAACTCTGAAAATAATGCCTAAGTGTTTTTGTGAGCGAAAATTGTTGATTTGAATAGTATTATAGTAGGTCAAGTTTCAGTTTCAGCCCCCCAGCTATCACTCGAAATACCTTCACAGTTTTTCATTTTCAAAGTTGTACTGACAACACTATGTTACTGAATTGTAATAATAAGTAGGTAGACTATACTTCTCGTAAATATTCACCGCTAATGCGATAGGTTATGAAAATGAAGCTATCTGATGTCCAGATACCCTAATGCACACTAATTTTTAGACTTTTATTAGTAGTCATGACTTAAATTGATGTTTATTGACAGTAGGAACAATATTTTTTGTGTTGTTTACTATTATTGTCATCTATCTTGAAAAATGATGAATATCAGGTGATGCTGGTGCTGATGAACGTAGAGTTGTCCAGGCGTGCATTAAGCTATTCCTTTTCTGATGAAATGATCTAAAATGTGTATCAATGATCAATGATTTTTAAGAATATTTTCCGCTCATTTGATCATAAACTCCTAATTTTGATTTAGGTGTTTATGTCAGTAGTCATTTGACTAATAACAACTGCGTCATTTTTTCCAGCTGTATCCCTACCGATACCACGCACACACATAGTTTATTGTGACTGATGGTGTAACACTAAAATCTGTGGACAATAGATGATGTCTATTTATCATTTATCTTTTATGATTCAACGTCTCCATGAATTTTATTGAATGAGGTACGTTGTACGAGTATATGATACGTCCTGTCGTCAATATTCATTTAGGTTTGTTGGCGATAGAAGACTGAATTCATCACATAAAATCTCACTTGGAAGACTAAGTAACGTATCATTTGTCAGTGATACCGTTTTCAATTAAATCTCATCAGGCTTAAATGTCATCATACTTTGCGTATTAGATAAAAGCTGTGGTTCAGTGGTTGAAGGAGATGGCTACCAACCACTGAGTCAGGGGTTTGAGCCTTGCTCCACCTACCAGTTAGTAGCAATAACCCTCATATTATAGGTGTGGCTTATTCCCTACTCCATGAGTGTGTACAAGGTGGCTGCGTACGTTTCGTTCGGATTAGATGAGAATGCTCTAACCCTAATGAATGTGAATGTACTCGGTAATGATTATGTACTGTTTTATAGAAAGAATGCATTTGTTATGGCACAGGATTCACTTCATCTTGATGTCACTCAAGTCGCAATGGGTTGAAAGGATGTGAACATGATTATTTAAAACTTTAAAACTCATCTCTTGCACCTCATCCTCCTCTCTCTATCTCCATTGTGATGAGCAGTATGAATTCGCTTTTCAGCAATCTTTTACGAGTTCAAAAGTTTGTTGGTTTCTGTCACGTTATATCCTATATATTTATCCTTCTAATAAAATTGAGCAGTGATAAAAAACTGAGCAGAGCAAGAACCACCATTAGAGCAGAATATTATCCATCCCTTTTCATTATTTTAGTGGCCCTTGATGTAAAATAGACGATATTCGTTATTTTTATCTGCCCTCATCTCATTTTCACAAGAATTTCCTTGTAAGTAAGACGTATGTTTATGCCGTCGTTACAGGACATTTTGACTTCAATTCAGACAGTTGACTTACTTCGGTACGTCGTTGTCACATTTCGACTGATTTTACTGTTGTAATTTGTTATTGTAAATATTCTAGACTGTAAGTAGGTGGCGAGGGCCACCGAAATAATGAAATGGATGGATATTATTCTGCTCTAATTTTCGTTTTTGCTCTTTTAAGGATCAAAACTTTCATCTTTTTTTCTGTCTTGCAGACGGGTGTATTATTTATTGAAAATATTTACCATCAGTTATTGGATCGTAGTAATAAAGTTGACAATTTAGAGTATCTGTCATGTACTGTTGGTCTTGTCGCCTTAGAAATGGGTGCAGAACAGGTATGTCATTTTTACTGCTTCTTTTCATCACATATGTTTGTTTCCATTTGAACCCCTCTGTCTTTCTCTCAAGTTTTGATGAAAGTTGGAACTGTACGCGTTTATCCGAAAATTCAGTAATTGGTGGATTAACTGTTACTGCTGGAGGGAATCTGGTTGACTAGGAGTACACAAAAGACATTATCCTGTTGGGCCAAGACGCTGACAAAATGCAGGGCCTTATAAATGCCATGAGCGGAGACCTGAGTATGTTTGACATTCACCTCTCATTTGTCAAATGTAAGATGTTGCTCCAGGAATGGTGTGCGACTACTACTGGATTGAGAATACAGAGAGAGTGAAATGGCAGAATGTGTTGTCTACCACACTTGCTTGGTGATTGGCATAATCGCAAACGGACTGGCTGCTGACGAAATCTCAGCTGAGATACAGAGGCTTCGTTTGGCACTTGCCAACATGCGTCATCTCTGGGACCGATCGGAGAGATATTCGACTGCATTGCAAATGTCTGAGATGGCCGTTAAAACCAGATTTCAGTCGGTTACAGGTTTTCACATATCGACCCACCACCGCCTCGACGTGAAACGTTAGCCCATATAGGACTAGGTTGGAAGTAGGCTAACGGTACCCACACCAAGATGCTCAACCAGTTCATGAAGTTCCTGACTGTTGAACCTTATAGAGAGTTGCAGACTACCTGGTTTTCGTTCTTGAGAAGATAGGAATCATTGGTTCGAGACTGTAGCATAACCAGTCACAAGGGCACAAATACATTCACTCTTCGATCTCTTCTAGAATTTGAAAGTTTCAGTAGCCTTCATTTTCAAAATCCTTTCTCCCCACCTTTGTCTACATTGATATCAGTTTTCCTTCTATCCACTTGTATGCTGAAGTGAGGTGTATCAACTTGATTTGATGCACTTCTGTATGTGGTTATCTGTCTTATCTACTAATTTTTCGTAAATGATTGCTTCAACCTAAGCGTAGACGTAAACATCACTTCAAATAAAGTATAAACATACTTCTCGACTAATTATCAATATTTATCCTATTTTTTTCAAAATATCCTCAAGTCTGAAAATTTTTTCTTTGTAGAAAAATTGGTTTTTTATTTTTAGTTTTATTTAACTCTTTATCTTCTCGCTAGCTGGTGCATGTTTTTCCTTATTTTATTCATCTCATTTCCATGATCTACAAAGAGAGATACATACGTATACGCATGCTGTGACCCAGTGACCCTTGTTTTGTTTTCCACTTATTGAGTTTAAGAACATCCCTAAACAACTATACCTAGCGATCTTGTAATGAAATTATGGATAAATCATGATGAAAATTTTCTTTTACCTCACAAGCAAACTTGAAACCGAGAACAGAAACATTCCACTATCAGATTGTTATCCGACGGTCACTCATTCCATCTTTGGTCAGATGATTATGCAATCAAATTGTCATGAGATATTATTATGGAGCATATAATCTCGCTTTATGATCTTAGGAAAGTTGTCTAGGAACTTTCTTACCTCAGAACATAGTGAATTATCATCATTCAGTTGGTTAATTAGAGTTATCTAAATAATTTTTCAACCTTTTCTTCTTCTTCTTCTTCTTCTTCTTCTTCTTTACTGTTGCACAGGTCATTACAGAATTATTCCGTTTAATATTGGCGGTTCAAACTAAAATTGTTGATGAATATACCTTTATACCATTGACACATCAATGTGCTTTGCATGCCCTATTAGCCAGTACAATATCACTACTTGTTCAATTAATTAATCTTCAATCTCTCAGTGAGCATATTTACACGGTGAGTGTATTTTTCTTTCAATGTCTGTATTCATTTTGCCTGTTATGTAATGACAGAGAGAGGAAAATAAACGTATTCACTGTAAGTAGAATACTTCCTCCTGATTGGATCAGTAATACAAATCACTGTAATTTTCACTTGATTACTGAGGAGGAATACTTAACAAACAAAAGACCATACTAAACAGCAAAGATGTTTCACGTCAATCAATATTCCTCTATAGTTAAAGTATGATAGCTTTATGTTCTACGGCTTCATATGAAAGATTTTCATGTACACACAATCGTCTATTACGAAAATGTTCATTAAACTTCAACTAGGTGTATTATACTTGTGAAAAGCAACGATTGGAACAAAGAATATCGTTTACAACAATTGTTCTTCAAGTTCTACAATTATAAAATGCAGTCGTACAGCGTGAAATCAATCCAAGGTAGAGGCTGGTACATTTTCAAAATGGAGTGAGATTTAGGGATTATAAGAAAATCAATATTGGGATGATACATATACAGAAAACTGATATGATGGTGAACAAAAACATAACGAATAAGATGGCAGGAATAGGCTTTAGTTATCTGAAGGCCAAAGGAGAAGTAAGACTTAAATATTTTCTTTCTGAATGCAGAGTTCAGGCTTGATCAATCTTATGACGACAGCCTCCGCTATGGTTGAGCAAAGGTTGGCGATCTATGTGTGGTATTGTTTTTGGAACACAATAGATGACATTCAAAGAAAGCTTTATTAGCATTTATATGATGCCCTGTGTCGACTAGATGTGCTAGGACTGAACTTTTCACCACTTTCACTTCTCTCTTTCGGAACCAAGCTGGTAAATGCTCTCATATCTGGAGACATACCTGCCTAATCATACGCCCTATGGAACTAGTAACATAGGAACAGTTAAACTGATATATACAAGATGAAGATATAAGATTAGGTGGGTTATCCGTTAGTGTCGAATTGAGCATTGGCTGACCTGCTTAAAATGTCCTATTGACTTCTGTAGCTAGGCGTTATGATAGGATATCACTTGCAACATCTGCCTTCAATTATAATCGCAGAAACAAAGACATCTCCACTGTCATGTGTTCTTGTTTAGGAGCAATATAGTTGATGTCAGCTTTGATGTATTTATCCGGATATCCGTTTTCACTTAGAATATCATGGATGCACAATAGTTGTTTTTCCACACACTCTTTGGAAGAAATCGACCTTACTCTAGATGTCAGGCGGGAGTTGATTATATTACGTTTGTACTTCATCGGTATTAAGCTGAGAAAATGCGTATATTGTGCCTTGGACGTTAGTTTTCTTATATATACTTCTCAGTATAGAGTCATCTTTTTTTCTTGTCATTGGCACATCAAGGAAATATATCGAACGATTGATTTCATTTACGTATGTAAATGGAATTGACGGATGAGCGCTTATGAAATGGTTCAGAATAGAATTAATACATATGCAACCTATCAAGGACTAAAATAGTATCATCTATGTATCGACAGTACAACTCCATATTGGTAATTTTCTGTTTCAAGGGATCATTTTCTAATTTTGCCAAAAATATATCTGCAAATATTGATCCTAATGGAGATGCCATAGCCACTCTGTCAACTTGTCTGTACATATTAGTGTTGAAGATGAACTGAATATTCATTGTACATTTTAGTAATAGTTTTTTTTTTCAAATTGATAATAGGAATCCAAGTGTCTAATTCCTTTTGCAATAATTGTTCACAATTGACGGTTTCTATTAGAGAGACAGTGATGTTTGTTGAAAGAGATGTCATAATAAGTACCAAGAGCTGTAAACTAAGTTATTCATTTTCTCTTGTAATACAGTGGTGATATGTCAACCTACTCATTGATTGATGACTGTTGTGAAGACCACAGACTCATATAGTCGGTTTTGCTTTATATTCAAATCACAACACATCTTAAGGAACAGAACCTATGAAAATGTTTTCGATATTTAATGTCTATTCTCTTCGGAACATTAATGAGGCTACACAATATCAATGATCCCATGTTAAGTCTGTGTGGAATTGTAGAACTGCAAGTAAATGTCGTCAGTAAGTTTAGGAATCTGGCTAATAACAGTGATCAGCTGACATCACTGTCTTTGAGATTGAAATAAAGAGATTGTACTTCGTTAAAAATTATATTTAGCAGTACTATCGCTTTGTGTCATTCATTGGTCAACTGTTTCTAGGCTATAAGAGAAAGAAAACTGTGGAGAATATTTGTAGCTCAGGTGGATGGTCTTGGTTGTAGTTGTATTTTGTTCTCTGAGCTGGGTTGTGAAGCTTTCATCGTCTTTCTAGAGAACACCATCAGCAATTCATACTGAAGTATAGTTGGTTCCAGTTTTTTTTCCAAAAAATATATCTATCTTTTTTCGTTGCTCAGCGTTAATCGCTGTCTGCGTACTTTATTTTTCTATCAATGCACTGGTAAATTGAGTTATGGTCTTATGATTGTTTGAGAAATGTGACTCAGAAACCCCACAGTGGATTTATAAGCCGTGTTTAATTAATATACAAGCGCTTGCGGTACTACTGAAGGGAATGAGAAGACAGAGGCGGAGGAAGGAAGCAATGTTTATTATTCGAATCTTGTACATTGATCACCTTGCACCAAGACAGTCATTTGCATAATGTGCTTCATTTCCTCTTATGCTTCTATCTTGATTTACTGTTAATGTGTCCGCGTTGTTCCTTGAGTTTCTGTGGGCAGAATCCTTATCCATTGCTGATAATTCCCTATGATTTCTGCCACCCTGTCAATATATATTACTTATATTCATCCTGATCAGCAACCCCCACTACACTACCTCTCTGTTCGTTCAAATCGAAGTAGGTGGAGTGGGATGTGAATCTGAGGTCTACCTGCTGTCAAAGTTGAGGGTCTAGCTGATGAATCATGAATTCACATTGTACTTGATGGGTTTGCGAATGGATGGTATTGAATCGTTGGTTAATATCTGCTTCAAATTTACTATCATTCCTCATTAAATTGGTTAGTTCATGACAGAGTGTTTGGAACCAGTGCTAGTCAACCACGAATATCACTAGTGAGAAACATCGATACATTTCTGCCCAGTATACAACAGTTGTAAAAACAAAAGTCGTTTTCATTGTGTTCATTCAAGGTGATCATGATTAAACGATATGAAGACTGATGGAAAATCTTTGTTCTACTTCTGTATTGAGTTGAAAAATATTTTTGCAAGATTGGCAGGAGCCTATGCTTGCACTCACCCTTGGTGATGAGTCATCCGGAGCGCTGGTGGAAGTGTGAGTAGGGAAATTTCCAACTGCATATCGAATGCCAGAGTGGCAGACGCCAATCTGGGCCACCTTTGATGCCATCGCAACGTTAGTCTGACTGTAAAAGGTTTGGTTTACAACGCTTCGATGCGAGGAGTTCTGCTCTATGTCTATGAAACCTGACCTATTTGAGCTGAGGATATGCGACAACTCTGTGTTAGATCATCGTTGTCTGGCACCCGGTGGCAACACCATTTGGATAATTCTGAGGTACTAAAGCGTGTTTAGGCACGATGGAGATCGTGATTTAATGAGTGAAGTCGTCTGGAAACACTGGCTTCGGTGACTTGGATATGCGTTACGCGTATGGTCGCAACGACTTCCATTCCGTTCATTGTTTTGTAGCCCTGTGACTAGGCGTAAGAAGCGGAGAGGTGGTGATTGTATGACGTGGTGCTGTGAGATGAAGGGTATTTGTGTCAGATTATCATGTGTTGGTGCATGAGAACTGCGTTGATGGGGTCGGAGAGATCATGCAACTGAGTGACTTGAGGTGTTAATAGATATGCCTGACAATGGAAACCAGTTGGGTTCATGCTGTAACTTCCTTCTCTCTTCTGCTGCTGAGAAGTAATGAATGTTTTGTTTTTGAATATATCTTACTGGACTGCTCTTCTAGTCATGCTATTCTTATTGTTTTCCTCTCTTACTTATCCACTTCCCATGGTTTATGTCTTCACAATGTTGTTATATTATTTTGTGTGGTGCATTTCTTGTTGCCCTTGCTGTACCATGTTTGTGTTCTAATTAAATAAATAAATAATTGGATTACTTTAGATTTGGTGTAGTGTATAAAACTGATACATTTGATTCCATCTGTTAGCTACATTAACAAATAATCACAATTTGACTTGTTCATATGTTTGTACAACCTACTAGTTTTAACACTGCCTGACTACAAAGTTAGTTGTTTAAGGTGTTAATGGTGAATAGATAAGAAATGCTATTTCGTGATACTTTTGTTTCATAGAAAATCACATTTTCATTTATATCCTCAATATATTATTTTGTTTTCCATAAGACTCGAGTTTTTGTTTCAACTTCAATCATCACCTCTTTACCATCACGTACAGCTACCACAAATCATCTCTTCAACAATGAATTCATAGCTCTCTTCCGCTAACTCAATTCGATTTGAACTAGAACTAGAGAACCCATCTGGAGAGCTAGTATGATGACTAAAAAGATAATCATTTATGAAATTAAATCAACCAACTGATTTTCGTATCTCAGAAAAGCAACCGGGCTCGTATTTGGAAGCTGTTGGTTCTTATAGTGCTATAATCCGGCCCCCACCCCATCTTTCCGTTTTTCACCTCATTTATCATCTCATTACATAAGTCGAAAGAATGTTCATATCGATAAGTTGCTTTTTCTAAATGAGTTATATCCAGAATAAACAAAGTGACTTTTCATTCCCCACATCACTCTAATCTAACTGGCTAAGTTCCTTGATCGGTACAAATGATGCTGAATTAATTATGCGCGATCCAGCAGTACATTTCATTTGTTTCCCATATTTTGCCCAGAGAAAAAAGTAAATTGGTATGAATTCTAGTTTTTTTTCAATACACATGACAACGTATTCTACTATAATTTTTCATTATCCATTTCTTTTTATTGTATATTCTACAAAATAGGTTATCCAACGTAGACGAAAAATAGCTCCATGGTTGTTACCTTCTGTTGCGTTCAATCGAACAAATACTGTTGACAGGTAAGCATTTCACATATTGGTCATTAAAAATCATTCATGCAATTAGATAGTTTCCACTGTATTTGTGTTCCAGGTGAGTTTTGTTCAGCTAATTGGTTAGGGTTTATAATGATATCAGTGTTAAGATTTCAATGTGTAGATGATACTCAACCGAATGGCTTGCGATGAAAACAACAACCAAGACAATTTGATTGGTTGCGGGTAGCAGATGAATTCAGGATGCGCGTTTCGTTCTATTTGGACCTTTCAGCTGGATGTACCTGCACCCCAGTGAGGGATGTTGTTCCCACTGAGACTTGGACCTCCTACCCATCGCTTCAAACGCCAAGTCGTTATCCACTATGCCACGGAGGCACGATAGCCACTTCTTGTAAAACGGGATCTAGTTATTACCATTTATTGATATACTTGTTATCCTCCGTTGTTTTATTAGATCAAATTGTTCGATGGGTAGGAGGTTCAAGTCCCAGTGGGGACAACATCACTAACTGGGGTACAGATACATCCAGCTGATGAGTCCCAAATAGGACGAAGAGCGCTTTTTGGATTTATCTGCTAGCCACAACCAAGCAAATTATCATAATTAACATTCAGGTTATATCGAGGCATCCATATAGGAGCCCATATGCCAATAGGTGTCGAACAATTCGATTTATTAAAATAACGCAGGATAACAAGTATAGCAACAAATAGTAACAACCAAAACGTTGGAAAATATAGAGCGAGTTTAGAAGCTCAGATCTTCATCAAAACGCTAAAGCTTTTCTGTGATTCTGACTTCAGGAGATGGATGCCACTACTTTGTCGTATGATAATGTTTTCAAGAACAGAATGAACGTCTGTGGTTTCAATTTGTATCATCGTTAATCAATTATCGATGTATTCTTTAAGTTAGTTGTTTGACATAGCATGAGTCTACATGACTGGTCTTTTTAATAAGAAAATGATGATTACAGTTCTGAAAAACACTTAAGTTGCATCAAATTGTTAAATATTGACCTCTAGTTTTACAACCTGATAATTAACCAATCCGAGTTGCGAGACCCAACTGGTGTTCATGTCTTAATTTCTTCACTTTAATCGCTGAGTGTTAAAATTGCCTATCACTACGTACCCTCCCTTTCCAGTTAAAATTTGGTTGAAATAAGAAGAATTTGACTGAACAATTAGTGAGATGAAGGACAAATAGTTGTGAACGTCTCATTCATATGACTATCAGGCCAACACATACTAGCCAGCTATAGTAAAATTGAGACTTTCAGCTCAGTTGATATGACAGGAGGTTAATACCGCCCAAGGTTGTTGGTCAAATTCTTTCACTTCCAGCCATCATCACCATCCATATATTTGTCTATATAAAAGTAGTAGAAGTTATTTTATTCTTCTATGATATGAAATTTAATAGCTTTTTTTGTTTGACGTTTGTTACCGATATAACCGAAAAATACAACTTGATAAGACATCTGACTACAGATCCTGTCTGACGTAACAATTTATGCTTTTGGCACTCATAAGTTATTCGTTAGTCAATTGATAAGTCAGTTTATAGTATAATTCTATTATGTATAATGAAATGGTTTTAAAATAGGTTTTGCATTGTCCTAGATATTATTGATTAGTGCTATCATATCGAAATTCTGCATTCATTCATTTTCATATAAGGATGATGATAGTGGTTGTAGTTGGTAGAATAACTTCATTGTGCTTAGAATTAAGTCAGTAGGCTCTAGATTACAAATCTTCTGGTTTGCTAGTTGAGCTACAAATTCTTTATGCAATTAAATTGTTATTTCTGTCCAAAGCTACTCAATTGCATGATATCATGAACTTCATCCACAGAGTTGTGAAGCGTGTACTGATGCAGTCAGGAATTAGCACCAATGGGAGCTGGATTATGCATCTACTTCTAATTAAATACTCATCAAATGGATGTAAATGAATCTGAGTCAGTAATTCTGTTCTCAGTAAAAGAATCTTGAACCCATCTAACGAGTAACCAATAGGCGAAACATTCACGTTGTATTTTAGTACTTTCCAACACCACTACCAAGCGAATAAGGTCAATATGAAACTTGAGTTAATCTCCAGATATTCATTCCACAAGGAAGTTTGTATGTGTATAGGGAAACTGAATAATTTTGGTTCAGCAGTGAAATGATAAGTATACCCCAGTAAGTTTATGTATATATTGAGTTTTACTTTACAAGCCAACGTCTTGTATTTCTATGTACCATGATTGTTTAACTACTTACACTAGGAAAAATTCTATTTCTCTGTCTCGCTCCATCTCTATATCTCTTTTTCATAGCTATCCAACAGAATTTGAAACGAATGATGATTTGTTATTTTCATCTACTAAAATTACTGAGTCTTTATTGAATGCTGGTTACGATGTCAGCGTCTTATCCATACCTTATAATCCGATATATCTGCCATTATATGATACTGGTCCACGTGATCCACTTTTTGACAGTGCAGCGAACCCAAGTGTCGGGGTTATTGAACATTCAAATTATCAAGCTAATTGTTATAATGAGGATAGTAATCTAAATGTTGGCACCTTGAATCCTGGCAGTGGTCGTATTAATTCAATACATATGGATGGAACAATGCAAAGTTGCAGAAGTAGTCGTAAGTATTTATCAATTTATATTATGTGTGAATGTCCGTAAATCCACGTTAATTTTTCACTATTGTTGTCTTAGTTCTTTGCTATCTGTCATTTTTCTTTATCAAAAACCTATAATACTCTAACACCCTACGTGAGCGGAACTTTTAAAACAGCTGAATTTTATATCAGTCTTCAACTCGCTACACGGTTTACATCAACAATGAGAGACTTCATGAACTAGTTTAACATCTTGGTATGGCCACCGTAAGCCTTCTTACAACCGAAGCCTACTTGGGCTATTGTTGCACGTCGAGGTAGGCGGTGGATCAGGATGCGGGGCATATGTCCAAGTCACGTCAGTCTGTGAATGTTCGCAACCTCATTGACTGGTTTGCCTAGTACCCTTCACTGCACCTGAAGATTGATCACACAGTGGTCCCACCCTACGTCAGCAAAGCTGTAAAGACATCTATGGTCAAAAATGTGTAATCTCATCATTATCTTCTACTTTCAAGGTCCGTCTCTCACAGTGAGAATTGCAACTCAGTATACTCGTTCACTTACAGGTAGTCGGATATCTTGCTAGTCAGTTTCAGAGATGATATACGTTGGCAAATGCCAAATGGAACCTCTGTATCCCAGCTTAGATTTCGTCAGCAACCAGCCGATTCGGGATGACAGGACTCCTCAAGTAAGAATAGTGGTCGACGTATTCTGCTACTTCACCCCCTGTGCATCTTTAAACTGAGAGTAGCTGCAAACCAGTACTGAAGCTTCATCTTACATTCGACAAGCTAAACAGCCTCAAATTCCTGCTCAAAGCCTTTAGAAGACCGTGTATATTGTCAGCAACGTCGCCTAGCAAGACAGTGTCTTCTGTGCACTCCAAGTCAACCAGGTGACATTCATGGAGCAGATCAATCTGTGCGGAGTCAGAGGTACCTTAATTTATGTCCATTGATGCATCAATAACAAAGTTTAACAGGAATGATGACAACGAACATCTCTGACGGATACTGATACCACTGGTTGTTGCCAGTTCAGATGTTTTGTATTTTTCTTGTGTATAAGTAACAACAAGTAGTTAGTTTCTGAGATTTGTGAGTGCTGTACAATTTATCCAATAAATTAAATAGCATGACATCATACTGAATATCTAAAATGCTCGGTAGTTGACGATAAGGTTGCGGACCTGTACAGTCACATAAGAAGTAAGAGATAGTTTATGTTTTCAAGTTTGCTTCACTAACAATTCCTACAAATCACAAAACTGAAGTCAAGTATCACTGTTCGTCTGCTCCATCAAACCGTGTGATACTAAGTTGATGTCTTGCAACTTTCTTTTAACTGAATTTGAGGGTTTGTGGGGATTTAGAGATTTTTCAAGTTGGTATTCATCATGAGCTGACATCAGCTGGAGGAATATTAGAAACCTGGGAAGACTGGACAGCTGTTTCGTCGTAGTACGGGACTCTTCAGCAGTCCGCACCCACGACCCCTCCAGAGGTCGAACCCACGACCTTCAGGTTCCGTAGCCAGCACGTTACTATTGATGATTAGTTGAACAATTAATTTCCACCCTTGGAAATAATTACAAACAAATAGAAACAACAATCGACACCAAATCTGTGCAAGTTATCACAGTTTACTTCAAAGAGAGAAATCAGTAGAATCACAATAATGATAACATCGCGCATGATAAGACCATATTGTCTGCATGTTCTAGAAAAAATGAGATATAATTGAGGCTGAGATTAATTCATGTCAAGTTGAAGCCGGAAAATGTCATCGCCTTACACATTCATTCGCTTAATAAAACAACTCAGAATACCTTAGAAAATAGTTATATAATGTCGAGGTTTGAAGATTGAATATCAAGGCTTCACTGTTATTGTTTGACTAATTTAGCCATTAATGCATCTACTACAAGGGCTCTAAAGTATGAAATCCTTCCTCTTAATCTGTAAGTAGTATTTTTTTTCTTTTTGGTTGCTTTGACTAAACTAATATATAGTAGTTTCAGGATGGTATTCATCATGGACTGACATCAATGGGAGAAAAACATTGGAGCACCGGATAGCTGTGTCGTCTGTGTGCTCATTGGTGAATCGCTTCGAGAGGTGATTCACAAAGTCCTGATGAGAACAAGTCGAACATGAGGACTGTTACTCAACGATGCCATTGAATGGAACTCGCGCTATATTGTGAACTGACATAAGTAGGAAATACGGAGGATTGTAGTTCAACACAGTGACTCAACGCTAACATGCTGGCTGCGGAAGCTGAAGATCTTGGGTTCTGTCTTTGAGTGTCCACTCCTGAGGAGTCCTATATTAGGACAAAAAGATGTCTCGTGCACGCAGATTTTCAATGTTTCTCCAACTGATGTCGATTCATTATATAGGTAAGTTTTTATATAATCCCAGCGTGTTTAGAAAATCGAAAACAAGATTTTTCTGAACGTTTCGCTGTGTATGCCACCGCTTCTTCCGCAAAATATTCGGATTTTTATTTAACATCAAAATATATACTGAGTCGTTCTTTGATGACAGATCACAAAGACTGTATGAATTTATAATGACGAACTGGAAATAATCAGTCTGAACAACAAAACAACTGACCAATAACATAAAGACAGAAATTTCTACATGTACCTTTTTGACAGTATATATTTTGATGTTAAGTGAAAATCCGAATATTTTGCCGAAGAAACTGTGGCATACACAGCGAAACGTTCAGAAAAATCTTGTTTTCGATTTTCTAAACACGCTGGGATTATATAAAAACTCACTTGTATAATGAATCAACCTGACTCGGCGCTCAACTTCTTTCAGGACATTCGTAAAGACTATGGGCTGGATGTTTATAATGATATTGATTCATGATAAATACCAACCAAAAATCAATAAATAAATCCTCATAAACCTTAGAATCGAATTCATATGCGGTAAGTTGCATCAACGACAAGGAACACAATAGAAGTATTTTCTTAAACCAATAGAAACCACTATTCAGTATTAAGCATGAGAAGGCTTCAAGTGTTTGATCACCGTTGCCTTGCCTTGCCTTGCCTTGGTAGCACACTCCGTGTTTCGTGATGTCACCACGTGAGTAAGGCAGAAGTCAGGCACAGAGTTTTAGGGAGAAGAGGTAAGTAAGTCATTTGACAAGCTTGTGAATCTTCATCGTCTGAGATGACTGGGAAATGTGTTACGTGTGGCTAGTCACCGTCTGTCTCGTCACACAATGTTGGCCTGAGTAGGTTCAGGTTGGATAAAGGTAAAGGTTGAGCGTGACCAGACTAAAACATGGCATCACTCAGTGCATGAAGTCCTTGACTGTTGGTTTGAGGCATGTAGGTGGATGCAGACTAGGCAGTTGGGGTCCTCTGGACAAGAGGAACCAGTGGTTGTAGACTCTAGGTGATATGGCTGAGAACCGATGTCAGTGGCGCAGATGTTATACACTATTATCTTCATCTTAACGCTATACCGAATCTCAGCGTTTTCTCATTCTTCCTTTCTCTCTTTTAGTACATTATATTTCCTTTGACTGAATTTACTTTTCTTCATCTTCCACTTCAGTGCCTATTTACTTGATGTACTGATATGAGGTGTGGCAACTCGGACCGTTAAGCAGTAATGCCTGGTCCTATTTTGATATTGATGATGATGAGTATTAAGTTTTAGGATAGAGAAAAAAAGTGAATCTCATCTTTATTTTCAGCAGAAAAATGTTATCTTTCCCCACAGTTCTTGATTTGCATTTTATTTGAATATCATAGTCGAAAACTATGTTTTAATGTTGTTACTTGTAGTATCCCGTCGTTGACTGGGTGGCAGGTACATCCGACTGATGGGTCAAAACAGGACGAAACGCGTGTCCTGTATTCCGCTACTACCCAACATCCATCGAAAATTATACTTTGCCTGTTAAGTTTCACAATCATGATCTTGGTTATACCTTTAGTGCATAAAGTTCATTAGGTCAGTAGAAGCGTAAAAACTACACTTTTGAAATTATGTCATAAGTTAAATGAGTGAAATTATAACTTTATTCCATCACATATAGATATATTCTACTGACTATTTAACTAGTCATCGAGAATAATAATGCAAGGCACCATCTCATTTTACTTTGCTTTGCTCATAACATGAGGTGTTTATATGTGTCCTAGATAATCTCTATGGCTTAAAGCAATAATATGTATATATATATATATATATATATATATATATAAATTATTGTGATCAAATCTTTTTCGGTCGCACACAATTTTGAATACACTAGCGGATAACAGAAATGAATTCGATATCGGGTAGGCAATTAGACCTCACTGTTTATCCGAACAACAAAACAGAGCGTGAACTGATTCCCATCTGCACTGCAAATTGTACAATGGATTCTCAAAACGAATCTTTAATCTTATTGCGATTGGTGGTCATGATTGGGCCGCTTTAAATGCCACCTTGGCAACAATCGAAATAACCAATTAGATCCCTTCATTTCTGCTGGAAAGGCAGATTTTCACAAAATAGAGAAGTGTGATTGGTTATTTCATTTGTTGTTAGGGTGACCTTTAAAGTGTGAAGTATATGGCGACTTGAAGCGGTGCGCTTTTGTGTGAGGTTCTACGTTGATTCTGTCTGTGTATTATGGAATATATTTCCAATCGCAGATACATTGACCACACTCTCCCCCCAGGGAATAGTACTAACTAGACGAAGTGTGTGCTTAACTGTGGTCACAAAACAGACAGCTTGAACATCAACTATGTCTGCTTCTAAAATGTGTAAGTAAATATTGTAGTACAAAATTCTGAATTTAAAAAAAAACAATTTTTGAGGAAAACAAAAAGCATAC